GGATTTTCCTTCTAAAGTATCTTTGAAGTTAGGGAGAGTAAAGCTGTCAGTCTAGACTTCTTTACATGGCAAAGCTATCTTTCAATAGCAGAGGTGAAATAAAAATATTTTTAGATGTACACAAACTGAAAGAAATCACCAGCAGACTGTCACTGCATGACATATTAAAGGAATTCCTTCAAACAGAAGGAAAGTGACACAAGATGGAAATCTGGATGTACACATGGAATGAAGAGCATCTGAAAAGCAACAATGTGGGTATATATTAATATTCTTTTAAATACTTAAATCTCTTTAGAAGTAGTCCACCATGACTGGGTGCGGTGGCTCACGCCTGTAATCCCAGCACTTTGGGAGGCTGAGGTGGGTGGACCGCAAGGCCAAGAATTCAAGACCAGCCTGGGCAATATGGTGAAACCCTGTCTCTACCAAAAATACAAAAATTAGCCGGGTGTGGTGGTGGGCGCCTGTAGTCCCAGCTACTCAGGAGGCTGTGTCAGGAGAATCGCTAGAACCCTGGAGGTGGAGGTTGCAGTAAGCCAAGATGGTGCCACTGCACTCCAGCCTGGGCGACAGAGGGAGACTCTGTCTCAAAAAAAAAAAAAAAAAAAAAAGTCCACCATTGAAAGTGAAAACATTAATGATGTACTGTGGGTTTATAGCATATGTAGAAGTAAAGTTATACTTTGTACAATAGCATAAAGGTCAAGAGGAGAGAAATGAGAATATATCATTGTAAGGTTCTTACGCTACCCAAAAAGTGATAAAATAACACCTGAAGGTAGGCTGTGGTAAGTTAAGGATGTGCACTCTACATCCCAAAGCAACCACTAAATACAAAGAGCAATACCTAAAAAGCCAACAAAAGAGATAACATGGAATCATAAAAAATACTCACTTGATCCAAAACAGGGCAGAAAAAGAGAAAAAGGGAATAAACAACAGATGAGAGATATAGAGGACACATAGCAGATGGTAGATTTAAAACAAATCATACCAATTAATGTTAATGGCATAAGCAATGCAATAAAAATGCAAAGACTGTCAGATTGTATTTTTAAAAGACAATATCCAAATATATGCTGCTTATAAGAAATCTGCTTTAAATATGAAGACAAAATAGGTTAAAAGTAAAAGGATGAAGAAATATTCCATGCGCCGGGCGCGGTGGCTCAAGCCTGTAATCCCAGCACTTTGGGAGGCCGAGGCGGGTGGATCACG